ACCCCATAGATTTCAATGCCCATAGGGGTTTCTTCAGCCAGATTGATCATCTCGGCCTGTAGTATCACCATGCCGATTTTGAAGAAAATCGTAGGGGCCGCCCAATTGACCGAAAATTTTCATCTTGGGTAAACTTTACCCTGGATGGGGTAATGGGTAAATTTTACCCCACCATTTTGTTTGGGTTTTCATGGGCTTTCATATGATACCCATATTGGGGGGATGCGTGCGATACACTTGCCAGAAATGCGTGGGTAAAACTTTCCAAGAGCGTTTTTGCCCCATAGATTTCAATGCCCATAGGGGTTTCTTCAGCCAGATTGATCATCTCGGCCTGTAGTATCGCCATGCCGATTTTAAAGAAAATCGTAGGGGCCGCCCCATTGACCGAAAATTTTCATCTTGGGTAAACTTTACCCTGGATGGGGTAATGGGTAAATTTTACCTCACCATTTTGTTTGGGTTTTCATGGGCTTTCATATGATACCCATATTGGGGGGATGCGTGCGATACACTTGCCAGAAATGCGTGGGTAAAACTTTCCTAGGGCGTTTTTACCCCATAGATTTCAATGCCCATAGGGGTTTCTTCAGCCAGATTGATGGTCTCGGCCTGTAGTATCACCATGCCGATTTTGAAGAAAATCGTAGGGGCCGCCCCATTGACCGAAAATTTTCATCTTGGGTAAACTTTACCCTGGATGGGGTAATGGGTAAATTTTACCCCACCGTTTTGTTTGGGTTTTCATGGGCTTTCATATGATACCCATATTGGGGGATGCGTGCGATACACTTGCCAGAAATGCGTGGGTAAAACTTTCCAAGGGCGTTTTTACCCCATAGATTTCAATGCCCATAGGGGTTTCTTCAGCCAGATTGATGATCTCGGCCTGTAGTATCACCATGCCGATTTTGAAGAAAATCGTAGGGGCCGCCTCATTGACCGAAAATTTTCATCTTGGGTAAACTTTACCCTGGATGGGGTAATGGGCAAATTTTACCCCACCATTTTGTTTGGGTTTTCATGGGCTTTCATATGATACCCATATTGGGGGGATGCGTGCGATAGTCTTGCCAGAAATGCGTGGGTAAAACTTTCCAAGGGCGTTTTTACCCCATAGATTTCAATGCCCATAGGGGTTTCTTCAGCCAGATTGGTCATCTGGGCCTGTAGTATCAACATGCCGATTTTGAAGAAAATCGTAGGGGCCGCCCCATTGACCGAAAATTTTCATCTTGGGTAAACTTTACCCTGGATGGGGTAATGGGTAAATTTTACCCCACCATTTTGTTTGGGTTTTCATGGGCTTTCATATGATACCCATATTGGGGGGATTCGTGCGATACACTTGCCAGAAATGCGTGGGTAAAACTTTCCAAGGGCGTTTTTACCCCATAGATTTCAATGCCCATAGGGTTTTCTTCAGCCAGATTGATCATCTCGGCCTTTAGTATCACCATGCCGATTTTGAAGAAAATCGTAGGGGCCGCCCCATTGACCGAAAATTTTCATCTTGGGTAAACTTTACCCTGGATGGGGTAATGGGTAAATTTTACCTCACCATTTTGTTTGGGTTTTCATGGGCTTTCATATGATACCCATATTGGGGGGATGCGTGCGATACACTTGCCAGAAATGCGTGGGTAAAACTTTCCAAGGGCGTTTTTACCCCATAGATTTCAATGCCCATAGGGGTTTCTTCAGCCAGATTGATGATCTCGGCCTGTAGTATCACCATGCCGATTTTGAAGAAAATCGTAGGGGCCGCCCCATTGATCGAAAATTTTCATCTTGGGTAAACTTTACCCTGGATGGGGTAATGGGTAAATTTTACCTCACCATTTTCTTTGGGTTTTCATGGGCTTTCATATGATACCCATATTGGGGGGATGCGTGCGATACACTTGCCAGAAATGCGTGGGTAAAACTTTCCAAGGGCGTTTTTACCCCATAGATTTCAATGCCCATAGGGGTTTCTTCAGCCAGATTGATGATCTCGGCCTGTAGTATCACCATGCCGATTTTGAAGAAAATCGTAGGGGCCGCCCCATTGACCGAAAATTTTCATCTTGGGTAAACTTTACCCTGGATGGGGTAATGGGTAAATTTTACCCCACCGTTTTGTTTGGGTTTTCATGGGCTTTCATATGATACCCATATTGGGGGATGCGTGCGATACACTTGCCAGAAATGCGTGGGTAAAACTTTCCAAGGGCGTTTTTACCCCATAGATTTCAATGCCCATAGGGGTTTCTTCAGCCAGATTGATGATCTCGGCCTGTAGTATCACCATGCCGATTTTGAAGAAAATCGTAGGGGCCGCCCCATTGACCGAAAATTTTCATCTTGGGTACACTTTACCCTGGATGGGGTAATGGGTAAATTTTACCCCACCATTTTGTTTGGGTTTTCATGGGCTTTCATATGATACCCATATTGGGGGGATGCGTGCGATACACTTGCCAGAAATGCGTGGGTAAAACTTTCCAAGGGCGTTTTTACCCCATATATTTCAATGCCCATAGGGGTTTCTTCAGCCAGATTGATCATCTCGGCCTGTAGTATCACCATGCCGATTTTGAAGAAAATCGTAGGGGCCGCCCCATTGACCGAAAATTTTCATCTTGGGTAAACTTTACCCTGGATGGGGTAATGGGTAAATTTTACCCCACCATTTTGTTAGGGTTTTCATGGGCTTTCATATGATACCCATATTGGGGGGATGCATGCGATAGTCTTGCCAGAAATGCGTGGGTAAAACTTTCCAAGGGCGTTTTTACCCCATAGATTTCAATGCCCATAGGGGTTTCTTCAGCCAGATTGATCATCTCGGCCTGTAGTATCACCATGCCGATTTTGAAGAAAATCGTAGGGGCCGCCCCATTGACCGAAAATTTTCATCTTGGGTAAACTTTACCCTGGATGGGGTAATGGGTAAATTTTACCCCACCGTTTTGTTTGGGTTTTCATGGGCTTTCATATGATACCCATTTTGGGGGGGATGCGTGCGATACACTTGCCAGAAATGCGTGGGTAAAACTTTCCAAGGGCGTTTTTACCCCATAGATTTCAATGCCCATAGGGGTTTCTTCAGCCAGATTGATCATCTCGGCCTGTAGTATCGCCATGCCGATTTTGAAGAAAATCGTAGGGGCCGCCCCATTGACCGAAAATTTTCACGCTGGTTAAATCATGCTTTTGGTTAAATTGATCCGGTATTTAACCATATCATTAGGTCCGGGGTGAAGAGATCTTTCAAATGGTGGTCTTATTTTTCAGTTTCGTCCAGCCGTTTAGGCGTAAAACGGTTTTTAGATTTTTCCCTAGATTTCTAGATTTTTCCCTAGATTTGGCAGCCCCAATCTGGGCTGGGCCGAATGTGGGCTGAATGTGGGCTAACTTCCGTTACATAAATTCAACAACTGTTTATTCGAAAAAAAGAAGAAAAGCATTTGGGATAGTCTTCGTGAATAGAACCCAGATTCTTAAATTTAACAGATTTATTCACTCAATTTGTTCAATTCCGCCTGCTCTTGGAGTACCTACTTCCGGCGCACGTGCAATAGCAACAGATGCAAGCGGACGCAATGGCTGTTCATCAGTCGTTTTGCGATCAGCGTACTTGTATATTCCTGGCCATCCTTTACCTCTGATTGGTGAATGGCGAAAGATGAAAGCTGGTTACCAATGAGAGGCCGGGGAGCTGCAGATGGTAGAACAGGAAGCGTGTTGCTAAGGAAGCGTGATGGCACGTGCAGCGCGTGCAGCGTGTAAACAACACTACGGTCGTCAAGTTAGATGTAAGTGAATCCTAATCTATAATCTAAGATTCGGAATCAGGTGAGCCCCTACGATTTGGACCAAACTTGGTCAGTGGATAGTACGTAACGTCTTGATTACGATGCACCCAAAATCTAAGCTCGGCCCGCCATATTTACGAAGTTACGGATGTTTGAATTTCAAGGTCATTCGGGAGAGCCCCTACGATTTCCGTCAAAATTTGTGTACGGACACACTAGATGCTCCTCATTACGAATATCACAAAATTTAAGCTCGGCCCGCCATATTTACGAAGTTACGGAGGTTTGAATTTCAAGGTCATTTGGGTGAGCCCCTGCGATTTCCGTCAAAATTGGTATACGGACATATTACATCCTCCTCATTACAAATATCATAAAAGTTAAGCTCGGCCCGCCATATTTTTCAAGTTACGGAGTCACAAAGTTACGGAATTTCAAGGTCATTCGGAGAGCCCCTCCGATTTTCGTCAAAATTTGTATGCGGACACATTACATGCTCCTCATTACGAATATCGTAAAAGCTAAGCTCGGCCCGCACTATTTCAAAAGTTAGAGCTGTTTGAATTTCAGTGAGTTTCAAACGTCAGTAACTTTTGAAATAGTGCGGGCCGAGCTTAGCTTTTACGATATTCGTAATGAGGAGCATGTAATGTGTCCGCATACAAATTTTGACGAAAATCGGAGGGGCTCTCCGAATGACCTTGAAATTCCGTAACTTTGTGACTCCGTAACTTGAAAAATATGGCGGGCCGAGCTTAACTTTTATGATATTTGTAATGAGGAGGATGTAATATGTCCGTATACCAATTTTGACGGAAATCGCAGGGGCTCACCCAAATGACCTTGAAATTCAAACCTCCGTAACTTCGTAAATATGGCGGGCCGAGCTTAAATTTTGTGATATTCGTAATGAGGAGCATCTAGTGTGTCCGTACACAAATTTTGACGGAAATCGTAGGGGCTCTCCCGAATGACCTTGAAATTCAAACATCCGTAACTTCGTAAATATGGCGGGCCGAGCTTAGATTTTGGGTGCATCGTAATCAGGACGTTACGTACTATCCACTGACCAAGTTTGGTCCAAATCGTAGGGGCTCACCTGATTCCGAATCTTAGATTATAGATTAGGATTCACTTACATCTAACTTGACGACCGTAACAACACTTCAACTTGTCAGCCATTGGCGTTTTCGGTGGCGGGGGCATGCAGGTAGATGGTTTGGGGCAAGTTGGGGGGGGGGGGGATGCGGGGCATTGTATTGATTAAGATGCAAAATATGGATTCTTCAGATACCGTACGTCAGATAGGTATATAGGGCCTTGGTCAGATAATATTGCACCAATTGTACCTACTTTCAAGGGTGAGTTTATTCTTTTTATGCTGTCGCCCTCGCGTTTGAACTTGTTTTTTATGTTCATCTGATGTTTGCAGGTAATTTAGGCACCTTTATCCATTTGTACCTTGTGTGTGATATGATGATTGTTAAATAAGGGAACAGATCCTCTTTGCTTAAACTAAGGCAACATCCTCCATACTTATTGTTATCTTGCAGGCTGGGTCCTGGGACGCTGGGTGATGTCTGCCAATGATCAGATGGAGACGTTACCAGAGCCTTCACTGCAAAAGAGGATTATTGTCCACCCAGCTTTCTGCAGCGTGTCTTCGTCTTGAGTAAGTACTAACCTTTTTTGTATTAGGGCAAGGGTTTCCGGATTTTACAAAAAAGTATGTGGCAGTTGTGCCGATGACGGGTCATCGTCAACTTTGCCATGAAACAAATCTCAACATATCCCCTGCAAGAAGAATGGATTCCGGTGACCACATGCTTACTGCCATCACAAGTGACCGGACGGCGACTGCCACCTCCCCCTATCCCTCCGCAGTTCGCAACCACTCCCCTCGGCCTGCCGCGTTGGCTGCCTCCTCGTGCCAGGCTTCGGTCAGTGCTACCAGCGTCCAGCGGCTCTCAAACTTTTCCGCTCAACCGCGGCTGGGATAGGTGGCGCCTTCCTTCAGAGTCGCGATACTTTCAAGAGAGACTATACTATGTGTATTGGAGGGGGCACTTACCACGGTCGCCAGCGCCCAGCTCCCTCGCTTTTCATTGATATTTGGTTTGTGGTCATTGATTGTGGTCGGGCATTTCTGTACACTCGTGCATCATGCACGGAGCCAGGCCACCCGACATTCACAAACGTGAAAGCCATACGGTGGTCGCACACTGCCGTCAGGTTCACTGAGGTGAAACCCTTGCGGTTGATATACCGTTCTCCGTGATCAGATGGCATCGGTATCGGTATATGGCTGCCATCAATGCAGCCAACCACTCCTGGAAAGCCCGATATGTTTTCGAATTCGCTCTTGGTTTTGCGTAGATCTTCAGGCCACTTGATGTGTTGGTCCATACTGGCTGTGCAATGTGCATGTCTGACAGAAATGGATGAAGACCTGCCATGCGCTCGACTTGGAAACCCCAAAACGATCTGCCACCTCACGAAAGGAGTCGAGGTTGCCCAACACCCACAGACTGAAGAGCACTTGATGGTGTGGAGGAAGGTCTGTCTGTGGCTTTATCTCCCTGGCATACAGGACAAGTAGTTCCTCGCACAGACCCACCCCGGGAGACACGAAAATTACTTCTAAAGCTGTCTTCAGTGTATCGCGGTACTACTTCCTCCACATAGTCGCCGACCTTTGCATGCTGGTGCCTGAAATACAAAAGCAAGCAATATTCATTACACAGTCAATCATGCATTGTTTGGCTCACATTTCCCTTTTTAATTATTTTGTGACATTCACTGGGATTGTGAGTATTTCATGTTTGGACAACATGCGTATACAACTGTTCAAAGAATAAGCATTAACTCATATCTTTAACCCTCGCCCATGTGGGGGGGGGGGGGGGTGCAACTGAGGTTTTTCTTAGCTACACGCCAAACCGTTTCAGATAGCCTGCTCAAATTTTCAATATCCTCTGGGGCATCCTTTGCGCAACTTTTGGTATTTTTTGTCAAGGTCATGTCAGGTCGAGTTACGACGTCATAAAGGGAACAACCTCCGGCCAGATTTACGCTAAATTGGAGATTGCTTCACATTGGTATAAATGCCGACTGACCTGACACACTGATGGATTGTTTTAGAATCACAACTGGCTGATTTGACATTGGCACAATGTCCGTTGACATTTTGAAGGTTACTAAAGGTCAAGGTAAGGTCAGTGACCTCGGTTGACCTGTAATGACTTCTTGCACTTGTATGCCTTTTTCGGCTATTTTGATGCCCTGAATTCGAATTTGCTATCCATTTCAGGCATCGTCGGTTGTTTCTTGTAGTTAATTTTGGGTCAGGGTCAGGTCAGTGACGTCACACGCCTGACGTGACCTAATGCACAAATTAGAGTTATGACATCGAAATACACACCATACGATAGAGAATTGATCAAGAATCACGATAGTGAAGGTTTCAAGTCGATATCTCTTACCGTTTTGCCGCAATCGGCGCGGAAATCTGAAAAAGTTAGATTTTTTTCTTCGAAAATTTGACCTTTGACCGGTCATAGTAGGTCAAATGTTGACCTAGGATAAAAAATATACCACCAATCGCGAGATCTCGTTGAGAGCAATCCGTTGGTCTTTTCCGCTAAGCTCTACGACGCTCCGTTTTCAAACGCCGGGGGGGGGGGGTCTCACCTTCGCCCCTGCATGGGCGAAGGTGGCAAAACACCGTTTACGGGCGAGGGTTAAAGGAAATAGTTCACTTTCACGAAATTATTTTTTTTGCAATGGATTTATGATTTTTTATGTTCAAAATGATCAGCAAAGAAAATAAAACCTATTTATAACAAAAGATTATTTTCTATATTTTGATATAAGAAGAACTTTTCAGTTTCTGTAAGGCACAGGCGATCCAGTATGAAAAGAGCATGGGTTCCGAAAATTCTTCAGAAACTAGAGAAATTATCGCGGCCACCGGCATTTGGGCGATCTGCTGCAGCTGCTGAATGTCCTTATTGATCAGTACGAGAATTTCTCTAGAGTTCTCGTAGATAATTTCTCTAGTTTCTGAAGAATTTTCGGTACCCATGCTCTTTTCATACTGGATGCAAATATATGCAAGGCACACATCCTCAACGCAAGACACCTTTTTCGGGACGAGAAATAGAATATCTTTGCCTAGGGTGATCGTTGGGCTGTAAAAGCTCCTGATTTATGCTCGTCTCAGCCCAGGCTACGGAACTGCTATTCCAGTTCAAAACCCATGTTAAAAAGTGAACTATTTCCTTTAAGCTAAAATCATCTCAAGTTGACGTCACGCTCCATCCAACTAACTCCATCTAAGTCCTCCGTCTAACCGTACAAGACCAAAAAAGTTACTATTTGCAGGCGACCAGGAAACGTGGGTTATCATCGAGTATGGGCACCACCAAAAACATTATCCAGGTGCGGCACAGTTTACGCAAAACTGCGCCAAACTGTGTTGCTAAGCTGCGCCAAACTGCACCGCACCTGGATAATGCTTTTGGCAATACTCGATAATACTCGAGGATAACCCACGTTTCCTGGTCGCCTGCAAATGGTGAATTTTTCGGTCTACTACGGTTAGACAGTGACATGTTTACTACCCCACCGCTTCCTAACCTGTGGATATTTCTTTCTGAAATTTTAACACGTCAAATGTTGATTCATTATGCATCAACTGCGAGCGCTTAATCTCGAGACTTAGGTATCATTTAAAGTACACGTAATTTGCGGTTCAAAATATTCAGTTTCATACAAACACCCTGTACATAGGTAGTGGTAGGTACTCATTATTGCTTGATATCCAAAAGCTATTTGGGATAGAACAAATAAAATACTCTTTTTTTAAAGGGTGTGAATAAAAAGAATAACAAGTTACCTTCCTCCATCCTGGTGATGATTGATTACAGCTGTCATTGCTTGCGCCATGAGATCATCATGTTCTTCGTCTGAAGAGTCATTCAGGATTAACTCAACTGCTAGCCGTCTCAGCTCGGCTCGTTCTGCCATGATGGATATACCAGGCGTCAACTTCAGAACAGTTCCTGATAAGTAAAATACAAAAGCAATATCAACTTAGGCTTAAAAATGCTTACTGAAAATCAATATCAATCAACGCTGTCACACACCATCCAACTACTTGCACTGGGCCAACCCAAATAACCCAAACAAAATCCCACGAACTCATCTTGGCGCAGTAGTGCCGATCCGTGAAATTGGCGGTATGGAATATCCCTCTCCGAACGCAACACGGGGAATTTTCACGATGACGGGGAATATTCCGCGCTCTCCGAACGTACCATAACTTCGGTGACTGCTATACCAATGCTACCGCTACTGCCGATGACGCCGCAGGAGTAGGTGGCACCTCACACACAGCGCTTATGGATTGGGTCGGTTGGTAGTTGGTTGAATTCACCATGTACATGCCGGTACAATGCGGCATCGTGTATGACTGGCTGTCTCCCGGCCACGGGCATCACAGTGTAGAGGTGTAGTAAAATTTATACATCAAACACCTACACCTGTTATAATGAAAAGACTACCTCACAGATCAAGGCTCTATTCAACAAAAGTCTGCAGCAGTTCACAACATCTGCGACTGCAACACACAACAGAGAACCACTTAGATTCAAATCAACCTAGCCAATGACCACAGAAAAACGGTTCACACCACGCCCGTATGGTGTGTAGTCTCTTAATTATCTCTGAAGATCACAACAAACTCACTCGTAAACATATTTTTTTGTGAAATGATCTCACGCACAAAGATCTTTGGACCACTTCAGACACAAGAGGTGTGCCTACTGCCTACCGCATAGTCTGCGGCCGAACACTGCCGCAGCGCTTGAATCACCTAGGGAAGCATAATGAGACGTTCAGCGTGATAACGGGTTATTTGCTTCATCAAATGTTCATGCAGCTTGTTGCACATTTGAGAGGCTTCTCATGGCTAAAAAATGTGTATCAGATAGAGCGTGGCGAGGTCTTTGCATTCGTTCCGCCAAGTTGCCGTCCAATGTTTCCGTCGTAAGGTCGTCATTCAGCCTTTCGATTTGTCATCTGGCTGTGTCTTCCTCATCACTGGTGGGACGCTCTAGGTCAGCCTCGTATTTACCTATTCTTCTGTGTCTTTCACCGTCGACGTTGATTGCAAATGATCATTCACGTCTTGAAGTGTTGGTGTTCCGGTTTGTATCGTTTGGTAATCATCGCGCCCAGCGACACCACGCAGATTCCGCGTCCGTCACCACTCACCAGATCGTATCACTGTCGATTCAGGTCATCAGAATCATTCACGGTCATCAGAAGGCGGTTGCGTCATCACCTACCAGTTTGGTCAGTGGTCACCTCTTTGTCTTGGTCACAAGCAGACACAGACAAATGTATATTGTTCATTTTGACAAATGTTCAGTTTAATGAAAAACAATTTCAAATTCTCTGTATTCAATGATGCACATACATACATGCATACAGGTTTATTTGACCACGTGACAGTCAACGACTGGTAAAAAGGCCGTACATGAGCTCCTGTGCAATGGTGGCACCACATGAAGTGAGAAGCATCACAAAAATTCAAAACATAGTGCATTTCAAAAGAGCTCCGAGCATATCTACGTGGGGATCACATCCTGTCCATTAGATTTATGAGTACAGGCACAGTGGACTTTTTATACCGCTCAGTTTATAAAGTTTTGGCCCGCGGTACGACAAACTTTCGCTGCCGGCGCAGAGGGCGCCTCACATTTGCCAGCTGCTCGCCCGGGTACAGTGGGTGGGCGGGGTTGGCGAGGATGTCGGCCGCCAGCTTGCAGAGGGCAGCATCGCGACGTTCACTCAGCGTCTCGAGGTTGAGGAGCTGGCAGGCAGAGGCGTAGTCTGTGTAGTTTTCGTATCCTATCATGATTTTGCAAGCTCTTTTCTGGACTTGCTCGATTGCTTGTGCTTGTTGCTGTGTCAGTCCCGTGTGCCACAGTTGAGAGCAGTATTCCAGACACGGACGAATGAAGCTGATGTAGACGGCGCGGATATCGCTCAGATCTGCATGGAACTGACGGAGAACTGTGAGCATGAACAGCCTGCGTGAGGCGTTTTTTGTGTGATATGATTTGTATTTGCCGTCCACTTTAGGCCAGAAGTAATATGGACGCCGAGAAGTTTCATGGTAGGGACGACAGGTACTGGTTCGTTGTTAATGATTACTGCGCCGTCCATATCCGTGTTGTGAGAGAAGTTGCAGATGAACATATGACACTTTTTTTCCGTTGATCTTCATGAGATTGTTCTCTGACCATGTTTCCAGAGTGGATGCGGCCGTCTGGGCTCGCTGGAGGACAATGTTTGCGTCTCTTGCAGGCGACAGGATGCCGATACTGAGGTCGTCCACATACTTCCACCGATGATTTTGATGCACATGGAAACAATACTACGCAGTATGCATATACTGCATCTTCCCTGTAAATGCACAAACGGTTTTACTTGCAGAGCTCGAATTGCATTGGATGATGATTTGTCCGCGCATGGAAACTGATGGAAGTGGTGGCAGATGGGTTGATATGAGCTATCGCAATTATCGCATAGTTGTGCAGGTGTTGTCGCATAATCGTTGCATATTTGAAGTAAGTCATTGATACATCACTTGCCTCCCACACAAACACCAATCTAGAGAGTACCGGAAGCAGCCGAATGCGGAGCAGTCATGCGAGAAGCAGAATGCGAATGCGAAGCTGTCATTGATGTGCATTGACACAAAATATATGACATTTCATGCATTTTTCATCGAATTGTCCTTAAGCTATCGTGGCGGATCCCGATGAATTCGACAGTCATCGCATATTCATCGTGTAATTAGGCGCTGAATGTGGCATTCAGCGCCTAAACGATTAGGCTCTGAAAGCGGCCTAACCAGTCGACGGCTTCCTATAGATGCAACGTTTTTAAGTGCAGTGGCGCACTAGCTATTAATTTACGATTGACATAAGGTACATAATACATATCGACTAATAGGTACGGGAACACGCCAGCATGTAACATAGTAGCGTTTTGTCTCCAACTTGCAATCATTTCCCTGGGATGAGTAAACATTGGCACTACAATACATACCCTGCAGTGAGAAAACATCAGCACTACAATACCTGTTATGATTCGTGCTTTGCTCGGCAGATCTCACATTGACGCGCTGGTGTGTCCTGCTGGTCAATCCGGCGCGATAATGCTTGAAACCATGTGGACCCTGTAGATCTCTTCAATGAAGAGTTCCAGGTTTCCAGCCCTTTCATCGCTTCTGTACACTAGTGACGTGCACGCCAAGAGTTGTCCAGACAACAAAATCACATTTGACGAAGCCCGTCACTCTGTACCTGATTGTAGTAGTCATGATCTTCTTTAAGTTGGAGGTTTTCATCCAAGAAAAACTTTTCCTCTTCTTGCACAACTTCCTGGATGGTTTGCCATTTATGTGTCCACGGACACTTCACCTCTAGGAGTGTATCCCCCACTATGCCATCTGGAGAGGCCCCAAGCATACCATCTTCAGAGAGGAAATCCCGCTCTCCTTCACTTTTCTTTCAGTGCAATTTTCATAGGCTCGCTTTCCAGCTGCTTCGTGGGTTCGTCCCATTTTACTGCTGCACTGCCAGATAGGTCATAGCCACCAAGGAGCCTTTTGGAATGCGATTTTGGATACCTTTCTCTAGTAATTGCCTTCAGGACGAGGCCAGAGTTGCTCGACGTTATCCTCCCCTTTCTGGCAACAAACCACTTCGGGTTTTTGACCTGACCACTGGCCAGCTGCTGGACCTTTTCTATCTCTTGCCTTGAAAGAGACAGCATTGCTAACATCAAATGAGATTTGTCAGCTGATACCTGAAACTCAGCGCCAGCTAGGATGCTGTCAATGTTTGGCACATTCTCTTCTGGAACAGACTGAGACTCTGGAGCCCACATGGCATCTGCGTGTCCAATGTCCATTGCCAGTCCACATTGCGTCTCCCTCACCTGCTCATACAACCATGCCAGTTGGTCCTCTTTGACTGAGCTCATCAGCAAAGACCTGTCTTCCTGGGGAACATCTCCTTCACTTCAGCGTGATGCAGCAGCACGCACATGTAGAATAACTCGCCGTGCGTAGGCGACTGGTAGACCAAGCGACCGATGCTCTGGTGCTCTTAATTATTATTCATATGGCGGATTGAGAAGCGCTATGGTATTGAAGCAGCAAGGTGGCCTAACATTATCAAATAGATCTAAAATATCCATAACTTTATCTCCGAATCCATCTTTACATTCCAATTTACGTTACAACATTGTGCGCTGTTTACACCATTGATATAAAAAACTTTGATATTTGTATCACGAACATGATACATATATTTGCATGGAACCACAGACATAGTAGATAGTGCATACTGCATAACATGTGAAGACGAATCCATAACGACTGCATTTTCATCATAGCAGGACCCGCATCATTTGGCAGCCCGATCAGGACGTAGTACTCCCGGCCCGTAACGTGTTTGCTCACCCGACAGTTTACTTTCTATGCCTACACATTTAACGGTGGGGGCTGCATATTAATTAAAGGAAGACTGCCACCTTCAAAAAGTTTTCTCAGATCGGCCTATGATTTATTCCCTGGACAAAACAAAATTTTAGAATTCACCTGACAAAGTATCATCACGTGAATCGCGAAAAAATGTCGATTATCATACAATTATCAATCGGTTAATGTCTAGCGACAATGTTTACACATCACTAGACTTCAAGGTCATAAGATTATTACATTTTATTTGAAAAAGTAAGGTATTTTATGATTTACTAATATATGATTTCATAAGAAATTGGCCATGTTTAATTTATTTTGCATTTAAGTTCGTAAAACATTTAAAAATCATGGCTCATTTGGAATGGGTCTGGCCCATGTTAAACCCCATTTCCCACACTTTTTTGGAAAAAATGAACTACTGAATATATAAGTTTAACTTTTATTTTGACACTCCAAAATTCTTCTCTGATCTCGAAACAATCAAAGTTTTGACATATATTTACCAAAAGATAAGAAAATTCATGTTTCAAAGTTATCGATAAACAGCTTAGAGATGTCGGTTTTCTTGGACTAAAAAAATGGCATCAAACTGAACTTTGGTCTCCGATTTCTCGCAAACGGGTTCGAATTTCGGAAAACCGACTTCAGTCTGGGACATAGGTGGCTCAGCTCTAGTGAAAACCGTTTTGTGGAAAAAAAAGGTGGCAGTCTACCTTTAAACCGTGAGCGGTACGAACACAGTGGTCCGTTAGAGATGCCAGCTGGTACTCTATGCATGCGTGTCAATGTAGCTGGAGCAGGTCAAATTCGCGTATCCTACGGATCGCGCGCTGCACGTGAATGTGCAAACAAGCAACTTCCTTGACCCGTGTGACCTCTTCCTTGGACATCAGAGCTTGGCTGCTGACTGACAATGGCCGCAATAGGCTGCAGCGCGCGTGGTTGACTCCCCGAGCCGGTAGCTCGGCGCCAGAGCGGAAAACTCCGCTCCCGATGCCTGGTAGCGGAATGTCACCACCAGGCGCTGCGTTGTGCTGACCGGCTGGCGGAAGGTGGTGGTCGACCGGGTGATTTGGTCTTCGATCAGTGCTTGGAGCAGATCGAAGGCCCCCTTGTTGACTCGGAAGTACTGGAGGTGTCGCTGGGGGTCGTTTCGCCGAAGCTCCTGCACTAAATTGTCGTACTCGCCCACCTCGTCGCAGTGCTGCAGCACGCCACTGACCCCATGTGCCGGACGAGGCGTCTGCGTTTCTCCTGCGCCCTCTTTAGTGTCAGCTTGAGGTACAGTATCGCTGCGGTCAGTTGAAGTGCGTACGGGTTATTTGGTGGCTCAGAATGCAAACTACTAAATGACCTCCTCTGGGCCAAGCGAACTTCTGGGAAGAGGCATAAATCTCCCTTTTTAGTACCTTCCTTTGATGCATCTTGAACATGGAATGAAACCACTTTCGTATTTCTTTCTTAACAATACAAATATGGAAAACCAAAGAAATCAAGTCTCAGCACTGGTTTTCATTTCCCACACGAATTTATGCATATAGAAAAACACCGCTGATTTGAAATCACCTCTCAACAGGTGCGGACATTGGGAGGCGATCTGTTCTTGGCGGCCCAACACTGGGAAGGTGTCCAGGATAGTGTCCCGGACAGCCTGGGAGAGCGCCATGCCACCAGCCCATGACCAGTGATGGTATTCATGGGTTACCGATGCCTATGGCTAGACCCCGTGTGGAAGCATTTTCAATTCACAGTTCCTCATTATGAGTCGTATGTCTATACTTTTTTTCCAAACTATCGCAAGTCAGAGACCAGCCGACCGAGCCGACCAGTCTGATTTCGAAACGTGCCAAGCCGGTGTTCGTTGATTTCTGTAAAATCCATCACTTTGCACGTGACAATTATAAAATCGATTTTCGGGCCGTGCGCCTTTTGAAAAAAAAAATGGACTATAGTGTCAGTCGATGCACAATTGATGTATCTAGAACATATCTGAACCGCATTCCGGTCGAGCTTTGCAAACTGCCCAACAGGTGGCGCTAACATATAGCAACTTCAACAGGTGGCGCTAACATGTAGCAACTTTAGCGCCACCTAGCGGCAAAACTAAGAAAGGCAGGGTCTTCATTTTCAGATATGTTCTAGATACATGCAAGGGCTATCGAATGACGGTTACCGGGTTTCTGTATCTTTCTTGGTTTAAGCAGAAGAGGCATTTGAAGAACCATCCACATTGGTATTCAGGCCAAAACAGCCCTTAACCCGCGCCGGGCCGGGGGGGGGGGTGTTTGAACACCCCCCCTTGCGGTTTTTCGCAGATATCTGAAAAACGGCGGCGCGGAGCGCCGCCGTTTTTGGCACACCTGTTTGTGCATCTTTTCCGCACATGTTGTGAAAATTTCAGACCCAGGTCACCTTAGGTCAGGTCACCAGGTCACGCCAAGTGACCTCACCTCAGAAAAAATAAGAATGCTCGTCATAGCTACACCTACTGAACGATTGCCTTGAAACTTTCAGCGATTGATTAGAGCAACACTATCTATAAAATGTATATCTCGGAATTTTGATATCGGTGACCTAAGGTCAGGTCAATTTTGCGGCCTCTCCATTATAAGTCAATGGGAGAAAATTGAAAAGAGTCTGTTTTGCACGAACGCTATTCTAGACACTCTCAAACATCGAGATGTAGGTAAAATAGACACACTGAACCAGAAAATGGCAACTGTGACCCCTCGTTATGTCCCCGAGGTCATCTCAGGTCACGAACAGAATCTAACAGTTTTTCGATGATAACTTCTGATAGAGGAGTGCTAGAGCGCTGAAGACGCCTTAGATGTGTTCGGCTTGACATTGCAGATCGACTGATATGCAACATGAGCTTTTCCGGTCAGGTCATGACCTTGACCTGAGGTCAAATTTTCAAGTTGACCTTTAAAGGTCAAATTATAGTTCATTCGACGCGTCTCGACGAGAGGAACACGATGCTGGCAAAAGTAATGTCATAGCTCTTTTGAGTCAAAAGTTATTGCCGAAAAAAAACGTTTTTCGTAAAAACGGCTATTTTTGGAGTTTTTGCCCTCTGGAGGCTAAACTGTTGACCTGAGGTCAAATCTGAGAACATTACTCAGAAAGGTCTGTAAAAGGGCTATCGAATGCGCTTTTTTTGCGACGCTGTAGCTCTATCGGTTCCCGAGATAGCCGTTGGCAGTCTCCGAAATGTTGAAATAGTCAACATTTTACCTTTGGTGACCTCTGGTGACCTGACCTTTGACCTGACCCAAAAAATGACTGAAGTGTTTTCGTCCTTATTTTTGACGTTCTTTCGATTGCCGCTTACCGCGTGTCGCTACGTGGCCCAGGAGCCGAGTTAGAAGGTGTTCAAACACCCCCCGCGGCCCGGCGCGGAATCTCAGAGCACCGGCCCGGCGCGGGTTAATCCTAAAGGGTTGGAATGCTTTACATAAGTGCATTTGAAAGGCTCTGGACCCAAAACTTCTGAACCGATTGTCAAGTTTCTGGTCTCATTCAATGCAGAATCAACGTGGCTTAAACATATTAAAAGCGCATTTTGATCAAGTTCCTAGATCTACCCAACAGATGGCGCGAACTTTTTGTGTGGTACGTGTAATTAAAACTAATAGTAATGCAGATGTGTCTGAAATATCTTACAACAGCTTTTAAAGAGCTTTTGATGGCCAGCAATGCTTAGCACCACCCGGGGGGCGGGTAGACCTCTGTGACATTCATCACAAGTGACCTTCATCCAATGATGGAGGCTGGTCTGGACCCGATTGCTGGCTGTATGACAAGTCATACACCCTCCAAAAATTAGGTCTATTTACAGGGAACGACCAGCCCGTCTCCGCCCCATCAGGGGGCCAGAGACGACCGCCAGACTGGGTTCCCGCGCTGGCTGGAGCGCAGTAGGGTCGGGGTGACCAGCCCCTTCCCTGTGTCCAGACGGCAAAGTGCCGCAAAGGGAGGGTGACGGCTCCCTCCACGTCCAAGTGGCCCCGCGACCCCCAGCCGGGTCTTGGGGCCTCCTCAGCTCGCCCCCGTCAGACACCTGCCGACCGGGGGGGCGACCAGCCAGCTGAGGCCGAGCGCGTGCCAGCGGTGCCTGGGAACACCCTACCCCCTACCGGCCTGGCGGGGGGGGGGGGGGGGGTACGGGGGACACCGCCGGCCTTCAGAGGGGCTGGCACCCCTGGAACAATGCGCCGCCCCGACGACGCGAAGCCGCACCAGAAACAAACACTAACCTTCCCCGCGACGCGAAACCGCACGAAAAACAAACACTACTGCATCGCCGAACACTGGGATACGCTAGTCCTCGCTAGACTCGTCGTCCTCGGTGGCAGGTCGGGAGGGGACCCGGTCGGGCTCCACCAGCTCCTCCGCGGCTGGCGACTCCTCCAGCGCGGAAGCCATGTACTCCTCAATCCGAGCGAACAGCTGCCTCTGGGAGGTGCTGTCTACCTGGTGCCGAAATCGCTGTCCGTACACCCGTTCGGCGACCTGTGTGGAATGCCGTCTGTAGGCCAGGAGGCCGGTCACATCCGGATCAGCGGCGACAGAGTCGTACAAACAGGCAGCTGCCAGCTCTGACCTGGCAGCAGCCGGGCTGGAGGCAACCGCCGAGTCGCCGACACCATCTCCCAGGGTCTCCGCCGCCTCTTCGTCACTTTTGGAATCACTCAGGAAAAGGTCGAATTGAGTCGAATCCAGGGAGGAGTCGCTGAGAGTACAGGGACTCGGGAAAAAGGCGTCCCGATGAAGCGAATCCAGGGAGTCGCTGCTCTCAGCCTCGGTGTGGGACTCCACTTCTGGAACGCCCTCTCCGGGATCGGAAGAAGCGAGTGTCGGCGGTTGGGACATCGTGACAACAGCAAACCGGTCGTGAAACGACTTAGCTTTTTTTTAACTTCGCAGTGCGGGAGCGTAGCGTCCTCGGCAGCAGCCAAACCAATGGCCACCTATAGATGCAACGTTTTTAAGTGCAGTGGCGCACTAGCTACGATTGACATAAGGTACATAATGCATATTGACTAATAGGTACAGGAACGCGCCATCATGTAACATAGTAGCGTTTTGTCTGCCACTTGCAATCATTTCCCTGGGATGAGTAAACATTGGCACTACAATACATACCCTGCTGTGAGAAAACAGCACTACAATACCTGTTATGATTCGTGCTTTCCTCGACATATCTCACATTGACGCGCTGGTGTGTCATGCTGCTCAAGCCGACGCGATATTGCTTGAAACCATGTGGACCCTGTAGAACTCTGCAAGAGTTCCAGGTTCCCAGCCGTTTCATCGCTTCTGTACACTGTGCACGCCACGAGTTGTCCAGACAACAAAATCACATTTGACGAAGCCCGTCACTCTGTACCTGATGGTAGTAGTCATGATCTTCTTTCAGTTTGAGGTTTTCATCCAAGAAAAACTTTTCCTCTTCTTGCACAACTTCCTGGATGGTTTGCCATTTATGTGTCCACGGACACTTCACCTCTAGGAGTGTATCCCCCACTATGCCATCTGGAGAGGCCCAAAGCATCCCATCTTCAGAGAGGAAATCCCGCTCTCCTCCACTTTTCTCCCAGTGCAATTTTCATTGGCTCGCTTTCCAGCTGCTTCGTGGGTTCGTCCCCATTTTACTGCTGCACTGCCAGATAGGTCATAGCCACCAAGGAGCCTTTTGAATAGTGACTTTGGGTACCTACCTTTCTCTAGCAGTTGCCTTCAGGACGAGACCAGAGTTGCTCGACGTTATTCTCCCCTTTCTGGCAACAAACCACTTGGGTTTTTGACCTGACCACTGGCCAGCCTCTGGACCTTTACTATCTCTTGCCTTGAAAGAGACAGCATTGCTAACATCAAATGAGATTTGTCAGCTGATACCTGAAACTCAGCGCTAGCTAGGATGCTGTCAATGTTTGGCACATTCTCTTCTGGAACAGACTGAGACTCTGGAGCCCACATGGCATCTGCGTGTCCAATGTCCATTGCCAGTCCACATTGCTTCTTCCTCACCTGCTCATACAACCATGTCAGTTGGTCCTCTTTGACTGAGTTCACCAGCAAAGACCTGTCTTCCGGGGGAACATCTCTTTCATTTCAGCCCCTGGTGCGTGATGCAGCAGCACGCACATATAGAATACCTTGCCGTGCGGAGGCAACAGGTGGACTAAGCGACCGATGCTCTTAACCGATGCTCTGGTGCTCTTAATTATTTTTTCATGTGGTGGATTGAGAAGCGCTATGGTATTGAAGCAGCAAGGTGGCTTAACATTATCAAATAGATCAAAAATATACATAACTTTATCTTCGAATCCATCTTTGCATTCCAACTCACGCAACAAAGTTGTGCGCTGTTTACACCATTGATATACATAACATTTATATTTGTATCAAGAACATGATACATATATTTGCATGAAACCACAGACATAGTAGATGTGCATACTGCATAACATGTGAAGACGTCCATAAACGACTGCATTTTCGTCATAGCAGGACCCGCATCATTTGTCAGGACGTAGTACTCCCGCTTCCACGCCTACACATTTAACAGTGGCGGGAAACCGTAAGCGTTACGAACACAGTCGTCCGTTAGAGATGCCAGCTGGTACTCTGCATGCGTGTCAGTGTAGCTGGAGTAGGTCAAATTCGCGTATCCT